TATTTGGGAAACCATATTTCGGATTGGAGTTTTTTGGTTATTGATCGCTTTTGATTTAATTTGCAATCTATATTAGATGCACAAAGAAGGAAAATTGCTCACCTTGTATCTATTGCGTGCTTAGGAGTTTTGTCAATGTTTTTCCTAGAGATGTGTTTGATGAAAGATGGTTTGGAGAGAGATGGGTCAATTTTGTATGCATATCTCGAGTATGCCTGATGTGTTGTGAAAATATGCTCTCCTTAGGCCGTATATTGGCATTACGGGAATGTGTGATCGGAGACACGCCGGTTCACATGTTACACATTTATCCGTTGGATATCTCTTAACTTTAGATTAGTGCTCAAATTATTTGTTAAAGGTGGGGTCCATTCCTTCTGGGACTTCTTTGGTTATTAGATTTACGGTATGGACAAATGCTTTCATAAATTTTTGAGTTTTTGGTTTGTTGATAGATTTCAATTCAAGGTAGAGATTTGTTAAATATGACTTGAAATCCAGTACATTGGAAAAGGGTCAAATTCAAACAAACATATCTCTCAATCTAGAAATGATCTAGAGGAGATTCAAGTTGGCGGTGATAGCTTGTTTCAAGAACTTTCCAACGATAGGTCATTTGCCCGATTTCGATAATAAACGAGAAAATTATTGCTGTTTTACGAAATGCTAATAAAATTGGAAATTGCGACGAGCGGGCGAGTTATAGCTCTAGGCGAGTGAGCTATTGCTCGGCCATATGAAGACTTACTACAAGCTTGAGCTAGCTGCCGAGCTATAGCTCGGTAGTTCGGTTCTTCTAGGATAAGTTATGGGATATTTCCTAAATTTATATCTTTTCTTTGACGGCTAATTGAGTATACTTAGGGAATATTATGGTTTCTATAAGGTTTTCTTATGTTACATAAGGAGTCGTTGGGTGGACAATTAGAAGTGCTAAATATTGATTAATTAGCCTAGCCAATTCAAGCTATTATTTATCCACTTTTGAGAGGTTTTGTGAGATGGAGATTGTTGTATCTCCTTTTGTTATCTCTCTTGTTTATCCTCCATGAAAGCTAATAAGAATAGGCTATCCCTTACCCCGTGGAAGTAGGTCTTGTTGACTGAACCACGTATATCTGTGTATTCATCTCATCTATTTTCTACATTATTTCTCAAATTTATGTTTTATATATTGTTGTCTACGTTCCGCACTTATCAAACACATAACCTTAATCAATCGATCCTCATCTGTTTCCTAACAAATTGGTATCAAGAGCTTGGTTATAGAAATTTTTGGTTTTAGGTTTTTAGAGTGTTTGATATTTTGTTTAAAACAAAATTCTCAATATTTTTTTAAGAAATATTTATTGGTTTGTCGATGTTTCGATTTTTGGTGTTTGAAGATGATGTTATTCCAGATTTTGAAAGGGATAGTTTGGTATTGAAAACTTGATGATTGGTCATGGTTTCAAATTCTCGATGAACATTTTTTTGTTGAATTTTGTAGTGATGTGGGAATTATTTAGGAAACCATATTTAGGATTGGAGTTTTTCGTTATTTTTTGCTTTTGATTTAATTTACTTCTTGATTATTATTAGATGCACAATGAAGGAAAAGTACTCACCTTGTATCTATTGCGTGCTTAGGTGTTTTGTTAATGTTTTTCCTAGAGGTATGTTTGATGAAAGGTGGTTTGGAGAGAGATGGGTCAATTTTGTATGCATATCTCGAGTATTCTTGATGTGTTGTGACATTATGCTCTCATTAGGTCGTATATTGACGTTACGAGATTGTGTAATCGGAGACACGCTGGTTCACATGTTATTGGTTTACCCTTGGGATGTCTCTTAACTTTAGACTGGTGCTCAAATTTTTTTTAAGAGGTGAGGTCCGTTCCTTCCGGGACTTCTTAGGTAATTTGATTTATGGTATGGATAGATGCTTTCATAATTTTTTTTGTTTATTTGGTTTGTTGATAGATTTCAATTCAAGGTGAAGATTTGTTAAATATGACTTGAAATCTAGTACAAGGTAATTCAAGGTCAAATTCAAATGCACATATCTCTCAATCCAGAAGTTATATTGAGGTGATTTAAGTTGGAGGTGATAGCTTGTTTCAAGAAATTTTCAACGACAGGTCATATGCCCAATTCCAATAATAAACGAGAAAGTTATTGCTGTTTTACGAAATGCTGATGAAGCTGAAAATTGCGACGAGCGGGAGAGCTATAGCTCGGCCCTATGAAGACTTGCGGCAGGCTTGTGCTAGTTGCCGAGTTACAGCTCAGTAGTTTAGTTCTTCTAGGATAATTAATGGGACATTTCCTAAAATTATATCTTTTCTTTGACGGCTATTTGAGTATACTTTTGGAATAATTTAGGGTTTCTTTAGGGTTTTCTTATTTTATATAAGGAGTTGTTTGGTGGACAATTATAAGTGCTAAATATTGATTAATTAGCCTAGTCAATTCAAGTTGTTATGTAACTCCACTTTTGAGAGGTTTTGTGGGATGGAGACTGTTGTATCTCCTTTTGTTATCTCTCTTGTTTATCCTCCATGAAAGCTAATAAGAATAGGTTATCCCTTACCCCGTGGAAATAGGTCTTGTTGACCGATCCACTTATATTTGTGTGCTCATTTCATCTACTTTCTACTTTATTTCTCAAATTTATGTTTTATATATTGTTGTCTATGTTCCGCGCATATCAAACATATAACCTAAATCAATCGATCCTCATCTGTTTCCTTATAATAAACAAGCTTATTTAGGAGATTTGTGTAGTTTCGTTAAAGATCAGCCTTAGAGCTTTCAAGTTTAAGTTTCCTTAGTTACTTCTTCTTAAGTATAATCAACCCAAAAAAAAAAAAAATTTAATTGGATGGATTAAACTATGGATTTTTTTGTCAGAAATTACCTAATAAAACCAGATTTTGTGAAAAACTACATAACAAAAAAAATAGTGTAAAAAACTACCTAATAAAAGGTAAGATGTTGTAAAATACTCCCTTAAGCTAGATTTCTACCATTGATTTAATTTTTCGGCGTTGACCAACCTCAAAACACCCCCGATTTTATATTACCACATTGGGCTATTTTTCTCAAATCTTGTGCTATTTAATTGATTAACTTGTGTTCTTTTTTATATTAACACCTTTTTTTTTCTAACTTTGGGGGATATCTCTAACTAAAAGGATGAAATATACATTCGTAATTATAGATCTAATAGTTAATCTATTTTATATTCCTTGTCTCTTACTTTTTGCCCCATTTGACTTATCACAGTCTTTAAGATAAGTGTTAAAACGCATATATCTCAATTTTTATACGCTTAAACATTATAAAAACTTAATATTAATAAAATATACAATGAGTAGATGAATCCAACAAGACCCCACATGAGTATATAATCTTTTATTGCTTAATAAGAATTTATGATAAAATAAAGTTTTATCAATTTGATTTAAATATTATCAATGGGGCAAAAAAAAAAAAATAGGAACAGAAGGAGTAATTTATATTTAAGCATTGAGGCTTAGGTTATCTAATCTATGGTCCGTGGAGGCGGATGCATGTACCATGCGAACGGTACATCCGATCCATAAGAAAAAAAAAGCGGAAAGAACATATTATAGAAAAATAAAGAACATGAAGCAAGAGTGAAAAAAACATATTGTTAAAGAACATATTATAGAATTGTTAAGAACATATAGTTAAAGTGAAAAGAACATATTATAGAGATGTAAAGAACCTATAGTTAAAGTGAAAATAACATATTATTAAAATGTAACAAACATGATAATTTCATAGCATCAATTTATTTTAAATACTAAGTAACTCCTCCCTTCAAAAAAAAAAAAAAAAAAAAAAAAAAAAAAAAAAAAACTAACTTTTTTATAACCTGCATTTAGTAACTGGTGGCAAAAATAAATCCCTACCTTCCCCCGGCCTCTACCCTTCCCCCCTCTTTTGCCTTCAATCTTACTATCCAAAATATTGTTAGTTTAATTTCATGCTTTAATTCCCCTTCAATTCTAGAGAAAAAGATACAATAACAAAGTATAAAACACTGAGAAATTCCAAATTGATATTCTATATTAACAACTTGTTAATATAGGGGTGTCTACGTCTTTTAGCACTGAATATCTGGGGGTAAGTCTGGAAAGAAATGCAGGACCACTGAATATCCAGTTTGCTACACCCAGCTTACACCGTTTTCTCGTTGACGAGGAAGTTAACTTTCGTCTTCTTCATTCAGTTTCTCGTTGACGAGAAAGAACTTTATTTAACAAAGCTAACGTTAATCGAGATGGAAAAGCTCATTAAAAATCTCATCTTCAATGGAGAAAACAGTACGGGAGTGAAACACCTACCCTTTTGGGGTTTACCATACCCCTAATTTCTCCATTTTTCTTACGGGTTTCTTTTAATTTCGTGGCGAAGCCGCCGAAAATGATAGTGTATGGGACTACGACCTTGTTGTTTGAGTATGGGGTGGGTCATCAAGCTTGACGGTGAAAGTTAATGAGCAGAGGAGAGAATCAGAGAATGCTTGTGAAGGAGAGCAGGTGCGTGGATCTTCTCTTTCGTACCTTCATTGTCAAAGGGGCAAGGTTATTGATCTTCGCTTTCGGAATCGATAATTCGATTACCAACCTATGATTTATGGAACCCCGACAGACCATACAATCAGCGGTAACGGGATCCAGATTAGTTGTTAAATTTTGTTTTCGATGGACCCGCGGATAATTTCGTAGGATTATTAATTATTGTTTTCTTTGGCTGAATTGATGGTTTCTCTCTCCTCCTTAAGTTTGCCAGAGAAAAAAAGGTAACGACGTTAACTCTACTGTAAGTGTAGTCACTTTACAGAATTAGCATAACTTAGCAGTGGAACGGGGTACACGTTAGCGTTGTTTTATTAAATGAATAAAATACTAAAACCATGGCATTTATTTTCCATATTGCCACTATATTAACAACTCGTGTTAATATGTGATATTAACGGGGACAACCTCTAAAACATGAATGTCTAGGGAATTTATTATTCCATATGAAGCTAGCTTGTAGTTTATTAATAAGTAGCTCAGTGAAAACTCACACTTACACATGTAACAGTATCAAAGTGGATTCAAATGTTTCTATGTATCTGTTGGCCTGGCCTGGACAATGACTAAATATGGTACAAGGAATGAAACATGTATGAATTCAAGCTGATAAATTGTCATGGGAAGACATTTGAATGACTTGATTTGGCTTCTTGTCATCATTTGCTTGTTTAGTAGTTTTGTAATAACATGCATACAGAATTAGTTGAGCAGCACCCGATATTGCTCCAAGACCGTTTGGGATCTACAATACAAGATTACGATTCCAATCACAATAACAATAACCGGAAATATAATGACAATGATTAATAATGCAGATAAATTAGCTAGAGAAAATTTTTGACTTGCTAAAATATAATACAAAGTTCTTAGTTCTTACATAAAGTTGTATTTTTCAAATTTATTTTGTAAGGGAAAACACAATTCCAACATTAATGAATATAATGTAAATTTATTAAAGGCTTGTTTGGTATCACTACCAGTTAACTAACTTCGCTTTGTTTCCATTCCTCAAAATAAAAAAAGAATAAAATAAAATAAAATAATCTTGGGTTTGTTTCCTAATTTGATGAAAGGAAAGTATTAAGGTATGTTCTCTTAATCTTATTTTAGCTGAAATAAAATTATATTGAACTAAACTTACTAAACTAAAATTAATTATACTAACTTTCTACTTCATATTATATTTCTTCTTTGTATTTACAAATTTTTACTTGACAAAAATGTTTTAAAGTAGAAAACTTATTTTTAATGAATTGATTTGGGGATTTTTTTTTTTTTAATTGTGAATAGAACATTATGGCCTAATATTTAATATTAATTTTGAGAATTTCTCACAAGTGAAAGGAATGGTGTCTTTCGAACAAGTGTATTATTTCGATAGAGGGTTCGGAATTATTGGAAAGCTAATTATTCAGTGTGGTCAAGTGATCGGAATGCCTAGCTGGAGGCCGCTTCTGATCAGTATTATTAATGCATAATTGATATTACATCTTAATCTTGACTGAACCCTTTGGGTCACACCCAATCGAGTAACCGAACTGAAACGACAAATTAATCCGAATGATTAAATGAGTCATTAGAGTATTACGAGCAAAGACGTCAGATATCGAGCTTAGAGCGTCGAAACCGAGCGTCGTAAGTCGAGTCGAATTTATGATTCTACGAGACGAGAAATCAAGCAAACGACAAGTTTAAGCTAAGCCGCAGCTTTGCATTGGCCTAGCGCCATGCGAAGGCTAGGCTAGCATAGTGCACCAACCGCAATGCATGGGTGTGCGGCAAGTCAAGCATGCATGTGTGTGTTAGGCTTGCTGGCCGAGCATGCTTGCGGGGCTGGTGCGCTTGGTCGCACGCAAACTAGCGCCAGCACGCAGCGATAGCATGGCTGGGTTAGCAAGGGGCGTGGCAGCAGCTTGCTCATGGGGAAGCAACGCCTAGCTAGCGTGCTAAGCCACCCAACACGAGGGCCAGCACGCAAGCTGGCCTGTGCGTTGGCTGGCTGGTTGTGCCGCATAGCAAGGCTGGCAGCCAGCCAAGCCTTGCGCCAATGCCTAGCCACAACACTTGCGTATGGGAGCTTGTGCGTGTGGGAGCTTGTGTGTGTGGGTTTGCTTGGGGAGTAAGGGGAGGGTGGTCCCCCCTTTGTGGTCCTCACTTAACCCCTTGCTCACCTCTTGACACTTGTCGTTTGTTGATTCATTCGCATTTCAATTTGATTTTTGAATTAAATTAAATTGAATAAAATGCATTTTACCAACTCTCCCACATTGATGAGAGATTGGAATTCAAGGGCTCCCTTCCCTATAAATACCAATCATTTGGCATTGGGAAGGGACACTTGAGTTGTGAACTTTAAGGGATCTCCAAGAAGAGAAAACCTTTGTTCTAATACTCTAAGTTCTTTTGGTCAAGCCCCAACTAAGCTTCGGGGTAGGGGTCGTTCGGTTCGGGTCTCGAGGGTAAGAGCCGTTGGAGGCTTGCGCATTTGCGGAGCTTTACGCTTCCAAGTTCGAGCTCTAAAAGGAGCGAAGCACGCATCAAGGGTATGATCGTTTTTCTTTCTCTCTTTGTTAATTAATTATGTGATTGTTAATTAATATGCATGTTTAGTTACTTTAATTTGTATGCGGATTTTGGGAGGGTTTCATTCCGCGTAATGTTGGTATTACGAAACCCAACAACAAGTATTTCGACGAAGTATTATACTACTAAGTACTAATAAGTACAAAGATATACTAATAATATTCATTTAAAAATTATTACTACATATGTTTCAAAAAAGAAATTATTACTACATAAGTCATTTTAATTTTCTATTCATGAAAAAAAAAACAAAAATATATAAAAGGGAAGGTATGAATGACTTACAAGGATCCATTGATCAAGTGGAAGAAACGCATAAATTGTCCATATAACACCATTTGCAAAATTGCCAACTGAAAGCCAAAACGGCATGTATTCCACGCTTTTCGTCTTAAACACTTTGCCCTGTCCAAAATAATTAGTCATTTGGTGGTTACTTCCAAGACTTTTATCTCTTATACGTACTTTCTATGTCCCTATTTTTTTTGCCCCATTATATAAATATGAGACAAATTTTAAATTCTTTGATCATAATATATTCTTAATCTATAAGAGATCATATACTCATGTATAATCTTCTTTGATTCATCTCATTATATATTTTATTAATATCTAATTTTTATAACTTTTAATTTACACGTATGAAAATGAAGATAAAATAGTTTTATGACACGTCTTGGAGATCACGATAATTAAAGTTAAATGGAGCAAATATTAGGGACGAAAAGAGTACTATATATGTATTGCATTATGTGCAGTATATACACAAATAGTATCTAAAATTCTAAAGCATAGCACTCCCTCTGTTTTTTATTTAAGTGTTTTCATACTAAACACTCCCATTTTTTTTTTAATGTTTTTTTTTTTTTTTTTTTTTTTTTTTTTGGCAAACTACCTCATTTTAATATTATAGGATCATTATCTCATTCAAACTCACTAATACTTTTTAATTAATTCTGTCAAAATTTTTTTAACCCCAATATATTTTCTATTTTATTGTTACGAAAAACAATGGGGTGAGTCGGACTCACGGTGAGTCTAATATATCTGATATTAATAATCTACTATACTCATGTCATATATTAGATTACTATTGTCAGATATTAGATTCCTATGTTAGATTACTATTGTTAGATATTAGATTATTAATGTTAAATATTAAAGTATTGATGTCAGATATTAGATTTCTCCTGTTAGATATTAGATTTCTCATGTTAGATAATAGATTATTAATGTCAGATATTAGATTATTAATGTCAAAAGGATTCACCCTGAGTCGGTCTCACGCAAAACGTTTTCTTAATTTTTTAACACCCCAACTATCCTACTATGTGTCGGTTAATTTATCTAAAACTCTATGTGTCGGTTAATTTATCTATGGCTCCGCGCATCTTGATCCTCAGCACAGGCCCCATATTCAGAGCCCAATGTTCATATTTGTGGACTTGGGCCAACTTTTAAGCTCCTGAGTTTAGTCCGCGACCCAACCGCCCTTCTCATTCATCAGGTAAGCTTGCTAATTTATTTATTAATTAATTAAAATACAACCCGTCTTGTGTATGGCCACGTATAAAAAAACAAAGTAACTTTTATAAACTGACTAAGTAACCCGTATGATATTGATCGAGTAACCCCTATAACAATGACTGAGTAATCCAATAACTGTGACTAAGTAATCCTATAACATTGACGAAGTAACTCATTTAACACTTACTAAGTAACCCCTATTACACTAACGAAGTAGTAGCCCCTATAATGGCTAGCCACACGGTGTGGCTAGCTACATATAAGAATTTGTGACTACAATAAATACTACGAATGTAGATGTCAAATAAATTAGTTGGTTAAAGTTTTGAAAGTGTTTTTGTTTTTTGTGATTCACCCGATTCAACCTATGGGCTAATTCGGATTTGAAGTTCAACCCTGACTAGTTAGATTCTTGTCTCCTTCCAATCATTGCTACGGAGGATCGAATACGTCACCACCCTTAAGACTCTCTTTACATTTAAAAAAAATTAAATAAGTAAAAAACACATGCTGAGTGCGCCAAGGCCAAGCGACCAAAGCTCTAAACACATAGGAATTGAATTAAAAAAGAGTAAATAAATCCAAAGTTTCATGTGGCCAAAGTAATTGGACATACCATAATTGTGAGGGGTGAAACATACATTCCCAAACAAAATATCACACAAAGAATCCCCACGAAGAAAGTCCTCTTTTGTGTTGTATGGAAACATAACATTGTGATTATAATCACAGCTGCCATTAGAGTTAATTCCACTGCAATCCATCTGAGAACCTTCAACTGAAATTTAGTCATGAAATATAGAATATGTTAATGAGATTAAGAATTAACTATATATATCATCAATTTAATTAGATGACAATTTATATAAATTTCATTTAGAAACATTTACTACTTGCTTAACTTGGACCATTTTCGTAATAAGAACAATAAAACTAAAATTTATAAATTAAAGGCTTGTATGATATCACTGTAGTTTTCTGATTTTATTTTATTTTATTTTTTTCAAATCTTATACAGTACGTATCATATAATGAATAAAAAAATTTATCAAACTATTAAAATCATGATAATTTTAAATAGTCAAAACCAAAAACAATCACGAATAAAGTGGTGGCTATCTGAAATGTTACAAAATATTGCATATACAATTTCGGATTGTGATATTGTTAGGCCTACGCAATTAGTTTCCTTATTATTATTATTAATTTTTTTTATCACGTTTGTTAATGTACGTTTTCAATCGTAAATTTTTTTTAATTATTCATAAATAAAATTTATATAATAAACTGATATTTTAATATTAAACATTGTAAATAATTTAACGAGATCCTACATAACTTTGTGTTACAAAAGCCGATAAAAGTAAAATTCATAATTAATGTCAAAAGTCTAAATATGTCAACTAATTTAAAATAGGGAAACATTAATCATTGCAGTGCATTATTTTTATAAATCCAGACCGTTATGTCACTTTCATATACCAAACATATAATTATAATTGATAATTTGGTAGGCTATGACTTTCCATTTCATAATTATAATTGCACGAGTGAAGTTACTAAACTTGGCTAGCTACAATATATTGCATGGTCAAAAATGTGGTGGCACAAGTGTCAAATGTTCAATCTTGCCATAAGATGACTTTTTGCTAAAAGATAAAATTATTCACAAAAAAACATTCTACCCATTAGTTGTTGCTTAAAGAGCTTTGTAGAAGGCCGTTTTTGTAAAGAATGCTCTCATAAAATCTAAACGAAAATAATACTTCGCAAAAATATTTAAATTAACTTAGAGCTAAAGTAAAAATTTGATATCAGGTTAATAAAGTTGAGAGTTTCACTACATTATAATCCCCCTCTATCCGTTTTTATTTGCACTATATACCAGTTTATGTAAGACCTTTATTATCATATGTTGCAAATATAAAAGGCGGAGAGAGTATAAAATACCCAACATCATCAATAAGCATGATGCTCTTGTAGACACGTGCAACACAACTTACGTGCAATTGTACATGAGGTGCTAAGGTCAGTATTGTCCCACAGACACAGTGATATTATGTCACATACATGGGCATGTGTGTGAATGCACACACCATCACCATGTAATCGTCCATAAGGTGTTAAGGCCGGTGTTGTCCTACAAACACGGGTACGTGTAATGTGGGAAGTGTAATGTGGGAAGCATTGGTGTCGCGTCGTGACATGTGACACGTGTGTGAGTGTGCAGGTAGACGATACATACAAATACAAGCGTACATAAGTGTTGAGATAGACTTACCCGATTATGCTTATCTGCATAGATGAAGAAAACAAGAAGGAAGATGATCTCAAGAGCAAGGCCAATGCCATTAGTTGTAACAACAAGAAGGCTTTTTGGATGGACAAATGGCATTCCATAAAACACCCATAACATGCAATTCATTGTTGTGGCTAAGTATGGGTCTGGCTTATATTGCTCCACCGATTTTTTCTTGTATATTTGTATAAATGTTGGCCTGATCATAATAAATCAAAGTAACCTAAAACTTAAACAACAATAATAATAATAATAATAATAATAATAATAATAATAATAATAATACAACTGAATCTGTTTAGTTGTAACAAATAAATTTTTTATCTCACAAATAATACTTTTTTATTGCCACTAAAAAAATATAGAGGTAGTAATAATCTTGTACATATTGTTCAACGAAAAAAAGTTGTTCAATTTGTGATGATATTGTCATTTTAGGAATTGGGTTGTAGGTGAAAACAAAACTTACGTTGGTGAGGCAAAGAGGAAGACGGAAATAACATTTCCTGGCATATGTAAATAAGATAAAAATCCATGTCAAAGAAACAAATATTTCGTATTAATTTAGAAAAAGAAGTAAACAATCATTCTTATTGTATAGTCAAACATATACAAATCCATTTTCAACTCTTACCGCTACCTATATTAGTTAGGAAGAGTCAAAATTGAAAATTAACAAAATTACACTAATCAATTCATAATTTTGTTATGCGTTTCTAAATAATTATATTTTCATATCATTATATAGAAAAGCTTTATGAAAATCCATATATTTGTTCCATAATCAAAGTTTTGTATGATAATAAGGTTTAAATAGAATTTTAATTCCAATTGTTTTCATAAACTGTAGGATATATATTCGATGAAAATTTTTATTCTCCACAATAGCTAAGGGAATTAGTTCCTCTGTCGTTCGTGGTATCATAAGCTATATATTATTCCATTTTTTTTGGAAAAGTTCAAAGTTGTATAAATCTATCAATTAACCTATAAGCAAATCTTTCCATGACACTTGTCATTACCTTGTGAAAAATTTTCCCGCCTTTTTTGCTTTAATTTTTTTTTTTTTTTTGCAAAATCATTAAGTAACTATTTATACATTTATGTATTTTCTTTCCACTTTGACTATCATATTCCATATATACCCAAATGAAATATTTTTGAATATCTTTTATATACTTTATATTTTATAATATTATTGTAAAAAATATTTAACAATCGTGCATTGCACAGGATTTTAACCTAGTTATTATTATATTCCAATTTTCGTGGAAAGTTTAAAGTTGTATAAATTCTTACTTCTTTACATTAACTTTTTATGTCAACCAAACAACTAATCAATTACATAATTTATTCCCAAAATTCCAAAAAAATTTCATTCGATATAAAATATGAACGTAATAAAAATAAATAAGAAAATGAGAAAATAACTAATAATAAGGTATTACGTGGCCCATGTACACATCCCAAAAACTCCCTATATTAAATCCTGGAATATAAACAAAGACTGTCTTAGCTTTCTAGGCCATTGCATAAATATAAGGGACGAACTTTGCAGGTACACATGTTGGTGACATAGCAACTTTTTATTGTCTTTCCTCATTTTTCATTTTAACACACTACCTTCGTTTCACATCATGCAATGACTTTAACATTTAGTATGTGCACAAACATTAGACAAAACATAGTGAGTCTTACAATCATGGTCTTATAAAAAGAATTGTAGGTGATGGATGTGGTAAGAAACATGGTGTAAAAAGGTTAGTGAATATGAGAAAAGCTAGATAAAGTAAAAGAAAGTGAGTGCAAAGGTGTGAAACTCATGGGCCAAGAGGAGTAAGATAGTAAAGAAGACATGACAAAAAAATAATAAATCATATTTATAAATTGTTTAAAAAGACAAATAATGTTAATATCACTGTGAAACAGATATAGTATTTATCTATATGTTGGTAAACGAATCCTTCAAATTAGATATAAACAATTTAAAGGCAAACTACTTTAATATTTAGAAGTTGAACAAAGCTAAATAAATAGATAAACTTCTAGTAAGACATATATGAGGTTGATGAACGTTACCAATAACACCTACAACGTTCCTTGAGATGAGTAGAGAGTGCTTCATCTTGCAAGACAAAGAAAGAAAAGAGGGAAAAGGAAGTGAAGATAGAAAGTAAGAGAGAATTATAGATTGTGAAGGAAAATGATAGTGGTAGAACTCAATAACGGTTATGCTAGAAATTTATATATATTTATATAAGATGAAATGAGCAAGTTCAATTGCAAAAAATAGATAAGCATAACTTTACAAGTAATAGCATCCATAAGGAAATAAAGTTTGGTGCACACTATGGTTAGTGCTCCTACCTTTATACAAGGTACTAGTTTGATCTGTCTTCAATTTTCTTTTTGAACCTAAATGGCGTGTGTTTGTTTGGCAACAAAAATTAAAGATGTATAGTATTTTAGAACCGAATATATTGACTAGTTGTTTGGTTGAAAAAAAAAAGGGTTGGATTAAGTTCCTTTTAGGTTTTCTTCTTATTAGGAGGGTATTTTTGGTTCCCTCTAGGATTTCTACCTTGGGAAGGTTTTCCTAACCTCCATTGCTAGGTTTTTTCAATTTTTTTTGAAGGTTTTCCTTCTCTCTTCTCTCTTCTTCCTTTTCTCTCCATCTCTACCATATATTTTCCTCTTGGTCTTAGTTGTGAATCTTTATAGGGGCTTTCACTGGTGTTTTTACCGGTGGTAAGCCTCGAAAACCTTTTAATTGCTTTTAATAATAGATCTCATCCATGAGAACATGATTTTTCTCTTGAATTTATTTTATTTTTATGTTTGTATGGAGAGAATTAAAGATTTAGGATTTCATAATCTCTACAAGAATTTGGAGGACCACATGAGTATTTTCACTCAAACAACTACGCATAATTGGATTTTAAGCCGAATCAGTACGAACTCACATATTGTATTGATTTAGATGAAGTTTTTTTTTATTAAGGTGATTGTTAATTAAATCTTCTACGATGTACTTAGTTTTAAGGAGTGTACTTGTGTTGGAATTCTTAATTTCTTTGAAATTATATATAAGTGTCGTTTGGCTATATTTTATCAATAAAATCCCTTTTCTTCTTGTCAAAAAAAGGGTTTAAAATATATGGATGAAGAAAGACTACTTCATCAGATTTTTTCCGTTTTTTTTTTTTTACGGAAAACATTTTCTAAGAAATTGATTTTCTCCATTTCCATTGGTTAGTAAAGAATGAAAAATAATTTTTCCCAAATGTGTAAAATAGTCTTCCAAGAGTGAAAAATATTTAAATTTTAAAAGGAAGGCATGTCACATGTTTTTCCTTACGCCTTACCTCTCCTCTCCTCTACTCCATCTCCTCCCTTCTACTCTTTATTTTTCACTTCCTCTATATTTTTTCTTGTAAGGAAACAATCAACAGAAGATTAATTTTACAATTATATTTTTTCTTGAAAATTATTTCCCATGAAAAATTATATTCCAATAATTATTTTCCGCTAAAATAAACAGAGCCTAAATTTTGCACGGAAAATGAAATAATATATAGCCTATCTTCCCCACAGTACCAACTCCCCTCTTCCCCATTCACGAGAATTCAATTTTTTGTCAACCAATCAAATCAAGAGATATAACTACTTGCCACAAACACGAGATATGTCCTATGTGTATTTGTTTTTCATGTCGACCAACAAGTTAGCTATTGAACATATATGCTAGCTAGGCTCCAGGTTGAGCTATCCATATCTTTTATGAGCTCAGCCACATTATATATGAGTGGATCCAAACCCCTTGCTTGGTTGTAATTTATACTTGCTTTCGTTAATTTTATTTCATTGCAACACTTCTATTTTATGCACTATTTACAAATTTTTGTTGATTCAATTAACTATGATAATTCATATTTAAGACAAATATTTTAAGAGATTTGTCTTAGTTACATATAATCAAAGTATTTTTTTAACATTAATTTTCTCGTTTATACTTACAATATAATATTAATGGTTGAAGTTCTTTGTATGTGCAATAACAATCATGAAAAGTAGACATATTGCAACTAATAATTAGGGGAAATATAAATAAACTCATATACTATTTGGTAGCTGGTAGTTGATTGATATACCTTGATGTATTAATTGGTTTGACTACATGGAGATATTAGCTATTTTGGCGAACTGATTATAATGCTGGTTGTATAAAAGTATATGGTATATAGCTGTCAATTGAGAGTTGTTTAAGTGTATGAATAACTAAAAAGCTAAATGTTCAATGAGTCAAATTTAAAAATCTCCTATTAAAATGAGTTTTTTGAGCCAAAAAAACTCTTTCAATAAGCTATCTACCATACACTCAAATTAACTTTTTCATAATGGTCAAACGCAAAAGCTAAAAGCTCTTTATCGAACAAGACCTATGGCATTGTTAGGTAACTAGCTTATATGAGCAAAATTAAGCTTATTTGACAAATATTAGCTTATTGACTATTAAATAAGCTAATTCAAGGTGTTTGGAAGGAAGCTTATTTAAAGATCTTATTTCACAAAATAAACTCTTTTTCAAAATGCAGGAGCTTTTTCAATTAGCTTAGTCAATCTTTTACGATGAATTTTTATTTTTTTGAAAGAACGAAAGGTACGATAGGAAATTAGGAACGTCTTCTCACAAGACCGTAACCTAATTTGTCGAGTAAAAGAAAATAAGAAAACTTGCTATCTAAGAAAGGGTCAATATCTTGATGCGTCGGAGTAGAATAGCCAAAAGACGCAACATATTGTGCTGCTCTATTTCCTTCACGGTAGTATGCTTTCCTAATTAATTCTGAACGCTCTATCGAAATAATACACTTGTTCAAAGGACACCATTCCTTTCAATCTCCCACTTGTCATTTTGGATAAGTGTGCTGTTTGTGTATAGCCTGTTTCCTATGTCACTTAATGTCTCTTCATGAACTATAAGGTAATATTTTTCGTCATCCTTATTACGTCCAAAAGTGTTTCTCGATTTCCGAGTTTGACTGTCAATAAGGAGATGATTTCTAAAATCCATCTGAGCACGGCTATGCATTTTCACAGTCTTGCTCTTCAAAAGGCCTTGTAAACAACAAAGACATGTTCCCTACTGTTAATAGGGGACATTCCCAATCTTGCATTGTCAGCTTCCTTTACTAAGAGGCCCTAGCCGCCCGAGTGTTGCCTTTATAATCCCCTTATACGGCAGACGTTTGACAACATTAAAACAGACTAGTACTTAAACAAGAGAACTTATAATACTCATCGTTGAGGAAAGAGGTTTCGATAGCCATAATGAGTAATACACTTATGACGACAAATCTCTTAAAGTATTCTCATAGATCGATTCGATATAGCTCCAAACCAATATTTGTGTAAATGATTTATGACATTCTTGTCCTTGTTGCACAAGAAACGGTGCTATAAATCATACAACACACTAATCTCACGCGGTCGTTAGTCGTCCAACTTTCAAATGACCTCGATTAGGGATAATTTCGATATGATATTCAACGTTCACTTAATAGATGTTTCTTTATCTAAGAGATTGTCTTTATACCCTATTTTGAATATTCTCAAATCGAATGGACTCATTAGTTAATTCTAAACCATAATTAAATAGAAATGGAATAATAATTTTCAGAAAAAATAAATTACTCTATAAATGAATGGTTCAACATAGTGTTTTACATTAAGATCTCCACAACTTAATTAAAACACAAAAATAGGAAATCAAAGACAATCTCCAATATGCCTAATTCCCATTGCCTCAACGTGCTTGTTGTGTTTCACTTGAGGCAAATGTTTAGTGAGTGGATTGGCTACATTGTCGTCTGTTACAATCTTGCAAATTCTGATTTCACCCTCGGACTTCCATTCCCTTATCATGTGAAATCGCCTCATGACATGTTTGACTTTTTGATGCTCCCTTGGCTCTCTAGCCTGAGCAATAGCCCCATTATTATCACAATAGAAGTGTATTGGTCCCTTTATTTAGGGGACAACACCAAGTTCACCAACGAACTAACGTATCCAAACTGCCTCCTTAACTGCTTCTGAAGCTGCCAATTATTCGGCTTCAATTGTAGAATCTGCAGTCGTGTTTTATGTTTTGGGGGTTTTTTGTGGCCCTCGGAGAGTTACGTCACCAAGATTGATTTCACGCCGGTTGTACCTACAAAACAACGGAAGTTTCGAGTGTTCAGAGTTCCGCCTCCGACGATCAAGTTAGAAAGTGGTTGGAGTGATGTAAAAGTGCAGAAAGTAAAAGTGGATCTTCTCAGATTTTGAGATTTGAGGATTTCTCTATTTTTGAGAGAATTGGTTATGTGTAATAAATGAACGTGTCCCATTCTGATTGGGCCACGTGGCCTGGGTATCTTTACCCAAAACATTTTCCCCTCACAGGGGTCACGCAGTATGCCATGTGGCGCTTGTGACATTTGTCACACTTTCATTGGTGAACGGTTTTTAGCTGTTCACCTTCTAGTGAAATTACGGGAGTACCCCCGGTTTTACCCCTCTATTAATGGCATTTTACCCCTTCCCCCTCCTTCATATTTGACCCATTTCATAAAGTCTAGAAAGAGAAAGAAAGGAATTCTAGATAGAGAGACTCTTATAACCGCTTGAGATTCTTTGAACAAAAATTTCCTTCTACTATCTTTGTTTGACATAGGCGGTCAACGCTTGAGACCCCTTTGTTCCAGCAATCTTCATCAAGGTAACCGTCCTTCCCCTTCTCAGCTCTTTCAAGCTGTTTACCGTTTGTTTATATTGCATTGAATAAATGGATTCACCAACAACACACACGGCACAGCCTAGGACAGTAGTCAGCCGATCTCTAGGTATGACTGAGTCTAGGACTGGGGGTGTCGTCTCTGGGTTTTTGGTCCACCCCTACTCTTCCCCGAATCTGACCGTCTTTGTATCTATGTAGGACACTATGGCTTGGACGATGTGGACGACACCAGAACCTGATTATAGGGAAGACGGCGCATCTGATGCGCCGGCTAAGGAGGGACATGACCATCCTCCGGGTGCACCAAACACCCCGAATGATAACATCTTGGAAGAATCTGACCATGGAGACGGCGAAGAGGCCATTTAATCTAGCTCTGAGTCGAGTTCACTGCAGGCGGATGCCGACAGTGAGGAAGATGAGGCGGCCTCGTGGCCGGATAGGGGCAACCCTCTTGAGACCCATATGTCTACCAGGGATAGGGCTGCCTTGGAGACGGGCTTTCAAACCTTTGTAGATAGACGTCCCATAAGGGATGGCTGGGAAATAATC